CTATAGGGAAGCGGGTACTCCACTTGAAACAGAAGAAATATGCCAATTTCTTTGAAGCCATATTTTTATGACCAAACTAATTCTCTTTACAAGAACAGACGAAACAAAGATGGAGAAATAGGGAATTTTGCTAATAGCATCGGATGGACAGGTAGACATAGTATTTGTTTATATGAAAGATCTAAAAATGAATTAAGGTCAGGGTTCACTTTGATGAAAAGACCACGTGCAGTATGGCAAGTGATTTTAGACGGTCATATCTTTCACCATGAGTACCTTCTGGGCACAAATAGAGTGTTTTTATTAAAACAATATGTGTTTTCTTTCAATTGAAGTACCCATGATGATAAAAATATCAATCAAACAATTCGAAAAATGATGAATAGGGACCCCATGTCAACATTTTTTCTAAATATTGAACCTATTTACTCAAAAGAGGATCTTCTTTTTCGGATTTTTATTGCATGAAAACATTATTATCCTGGAAGTCCTGTTTATCAAAATATTTCGTTTTCAAATGTTGCATTCACGCCATGTGGAACAGTCATACTGGGTCATACAGGGATTAAGTATAAATCTAGAGGCCTGTAAATCGACCGATGTCCTGGCGGGTCCCGTACGGCCATCGGCCGATAGCCTTGCGATACCCGTGCGATGTCTTTCAGATTCAATTGATTGCGGGCGCCGCACGATGCCTGTACTAATGTGACCATACTCACGATTAGATCAAGACATCGGTGAAAAGTCACCGGCGCCCGGTCGATTTATAAATCGGCCGATGACTACTCATCGGCCGGCGCCCGGCGGCTATGTGACCCAGGCATAAGTTGGAATATACTTTTTTAGATATTTTAAGGCGACGCTATATTAAATAAAAAGTACAAAAAATGACTGCCATATTTTTTTGATAAAGACACATGTTTTTAAAACCTTGTATATGAATTGTGTATCTTGACTTATGAAACATGTCAAAGTTAACATCACACATAAACGCATTTTTCCAAACTATGAATTGGAGGTACATGGATCCCCAAAGCTAGCATGAAGAGTGCGAAGTGAGGCTAATTTTTGAAAGTTTCAAGGAGTAGCCTTGCAACAGTCACACATTTGCAAGAGTCTAAAATTTCCACAAATCATCTTACCTCACCAAGGAACAACGAAGGAGCACGAAAATGTGTACTTCTTGCATTGTTAGAGTATAATAAAGCTCAAACCATTGTGAATTCTAAATATTTCATGTCCACCATTTTGTTTCCTGGAACTATTTTTTAGTCCAGAGTTATCTTCATTCATGTTTCCATTGTTTATCATTCATAAAGCCTCTATCATGTATCTATCATGATAATTACACTGTAATAGATAAAACATACAAGTGATAATCCATGCCACTTGGTGTAGTCACAAAACTTGCATGAGGATTAATCAGGAAGTCTTGAAGTAGTTCCGGCAAACAAAATGTGGACATGAAATATTTGGAATTTACAATGGTTTGAGGTTTATTATACTCTAACAATGCAAGAAGTGCACATTTTCATGCTCCTTCGTTGTTCCTGGGAAAGGTAAGATGATTTGTGGAAATTTTAGACTCTTGCAAATGTGTGACTGTTGCAAGGCTACTCCTTGAAACTTTCAAAAATTAGCCTCACTTCGCACTCTTCATGCTAGCTTTGGGGATCCATGCACCTCCAATTCATAGTTTGGAAAAATGCGTTTATGTGTGATGTTAACTTTGACATGTTTCATTAGTCAAGATACACAATTCATATACAAGGTAAACAGATTTTAAAAACATGTGCCTTTATCAAAAAAATATGGCAGTCATTTTTTGTACTTATTATTTAATATAGCGTCGCCTTAAGTACATTTTCTGTTACTTTTATTTGCCACCCACGGCCTTAGCCCAGGACATTACATATAGAAAATAATAATCGAAAATAATTAAAATTGAACGGAGGGGGAGTGAACGGAGGGGGGAGTAGTATGTCTTTAACGTGGAAGAAATTTCCAAAAATTCATGTACTTGAAAAATGAACTTAGTTACTCAGTAACAGCGCTTGATGTTACAACTCTGAAAAGTGAAAAATTAGGACATATGGAGTTATTGGAAATAAAGTCAAGTTACATCTCTATTATGTCTTACAGACACATTACTCCCCCTCCGTTCAGTTTTAATGATTTTCGATTACTTTTTATAGAACGTATGGTAACGTGTTTAACAAAACCAACGATGACAATAGTTTTGTGATAATTACTTCACTTACAAGTATTTATTACAGGTTGTGTAGACCTCTGTTGGTTGATTTATAGCAAAAACGTTGGCATTTGCACGTTGGCGACGCTGCACCCTTTTAATAGATCTTTTATCTCATTCCAATACTCATAGCATCTTTCAGGGCTGAGAAGAAATGAGACGCCATGGTTTATCATGATGCTTTTATCTTAGAACTCCACAGTTCAAAAAAATCCAAGAAGACCTAACATATTTCCTCGTCCACTGCGCCTATTTATTAAGCCATTCAATTGTAAAATTTCTCTTGAAAAAATAAATCTTCAAGATTTTTTGAATTTTCTACCGAAAATCAATTACTCCCCCTCCGTTCATTTCTTCTGATCACCAGACGTGATTCTTATTCGGGACTGTAATTAACACCTCCTGTGAAAATTTGAATGAAAAGGGCACAAAATTCTTAGTTTGAGAGTGATTTTCTCTAAACTTATAGTATTGATTGACCTGGAATGTGGAACTAATTAGAGAGACTACTTTTCCATGTTTTTCCAACACGGTTACAGTAAGAGAGTTGGCACATTTGGGGAACTTTAGGGTAACATTTCTTCATAATTAGCCTTCTTTAATTCTAGATACCATATACCATATATTACCTATTATACCATATGCCATATTTTTTACACCTCTTATACCATATACGATAAATTTTGCCCCCTCTTATACAATATACAATAAATTTTCACCCTCTTATACGATATACAATATCCCTGTACATCCCCCCCCCCAATGATGAATATTTAAAATAATGTCTACAGAATTGTATCAGACATGTTGTTTCAAATAAGACACTTCAATCTTCAAAAACAGTTGTCAATCTTATTAAAAACTTGACCTTATATATATATGCAAACACTCTCTACATGTGAATGCCTCGCAAATAATAACAACAGAATACTCTGCCACTTATCTTCAAATATCTAGTTAAAAGTACATGTGCATCTTTCCTTACACAAGCAAGATACTACCTAGAATATTATAACAATGATGCAGTTTTCAATCTTAACTAACCTTACTAAATCAAAACAATCTGTCATGCCGTCTATCTTCAACTATGTTCAAATCAGGCTCAAAAGTAACAATGCCTGTTGCACTTCAAATACTAATCATAACTCAAATTTCTTGAGCAATTAAATAGAGCTGCTATACAGATCCTAAAATAATACTCAAAAAGTTGTGTCTATATATATAAAAGAAACAGAAATTGAATGGCAGATTGAACCCTATCTAGTTACAGGTAGAAAATCATATGTCTAACATAAGCTGCTGAATCTGAAAATATCCTTCACATCAAAATAATCTTACCCTAATAAAATATCCTTACTAGCGTTATGCAAATGTGTATCCTTATTAAATAACTATCCTAACTGGACTTTGAGTCCACCATTTTAGACAATTTAACAGCACAATTAATTTTCTATCTTTTCCTTCATCTTATTATCCTGGCCAAACCCCTAAATTCCAGTATTCTAATTGGCTACTAAGAGACTAAGACCTTGACCTTATAGCTATTGGATCTAGAGGGTCTACAGACTATTCTCCAAGGGAATAGTTTTGCCACCAAATTCAAAAGTTATAAAAGTAAAAGTGAACTTTCTAAATCTTACAAAATAAACTAAAATGCAATTAATGATCCTTAAAAAATATTTGTAATTATTGAAAGAGGCTATAAATAATAAAAGTAACAAGGGCTGTTACAGTACACCCATAATTCAAAATAATTTCTTACACTCAATTATTAATTCCCCTCTATACCCTCATACAAGATATTACAATCAACATTGATTTTCACTTACAATGACTGCATAATTCCAAATAAACAAAGTCACATTTATGTAACCTACATTATTTATCGGCAACTAGTTCCTTAAATAAGCATGGATGCAAAAAGCATCCATAACATTTCAGATGATGCATTTATTAACTGAAGCTCCAATCTAGCAATTGGCTGTTCCTACAGTGCCAGTCCAAATGAGAGACTTGATCATCAGTCAACAAATTACGATAAGTTTTTAAATTGCTTACCCCGCATTGTTGATCTTCTAAATCCTTTACAGAAACAGGTTCGAAAAATTCTTTCTTCTTTGTACTTTCCTTCTAAGAACTTTACACCGTCTATAGGACAGAATTAATAATATGATTATTCCAAGCGAAGTCCCCAATACAATATTCCATCTTTGATACTTGATTTGCTTCAATTCAATAATGGATGAAATCGTTGTTGGATTGTCAGTGATATCATATGATGTTTTAGTCAGGTTCCAATGCATAGACTTCATTGCCATATTATATGTCCCACCCATTTTCTCGTATTCAAGGTCATAATCTCCATCTTTAGAGTTTCTACAATTTCTCAAATCGCAATCAACAAAATTGTTGTTATTAAAAAAGATGACATTGTACCCGAACGAAAACGTTCACACAGGCGCTGAAGTTCGTCGTAAAAATACCTTTGGCCTACGACCTTCCCAAGAAGGCATCAAATGAGTAACTTCTTCGGGAGAGGCTGCTTTGTAATCGTCTGTCCTATTGTTCTTAAACGTGTGCACTACATATCTTACACCGGCGTTTTCAATATTGGATTGGGGTTGTGTTGTTCTTTTCTTAAAAATATGTGGACATCTCAAATATAAACAAATGATAGCTAAAGCAATAGTTAAAATTGATGAAAATATGCCCAATGCAATGATTATATAGTTCTTAGGGGAATCAGGCACAGGCACAGATGTTTTGTTTTCTATTTGATTAACAGTTTTGTTTAAGATGCTGTTATCAGGTAGCAATGCGTATACATCATATCCATATGTCCCACTCATTTTTCCATATCTTAAGTCATAGGAACCATTTTTAGACTTACTACAATGTCTCAACTCACAATCAACAAAGTCGTCGTTACTGAAAAAGTTGATGACATTGTACCCCTTCTCACATGCATACAACATACATTGTCGTAAATCTCTGGCAGAGTAAACCTTTTCAAAACCATCCGAGTCACAACTGGACATCTGACAAGATGCCCTCATTCGCACTTGTGTAAATATATTCGAATGGCAGTTTGGGGTACCGGGATAAGGGACGATCCACCATTTTGTTAAAGCTTTGTCGTCATAGCAATTATTGTCATAGAACTGCCAATTTGTTCCTTCGTGGTTGCTATTACACTTATAAGCAATGTATGTTTTTTCGTTTTCGTGATATATAAATGTATTCGATCCCGACTCACAGAAGACGTTAAGCATTTCTTGATCTGTCGAATGTAACAGGTGCTTTTTAATGTATCCCGGATTACCACACTGTTGCGGTACACTTACTGGAAACCCAACTGGTTTGGTTTGGTGCAAACTCAAGCAAGGTCTAATTTTATGGGAAAGACTATATACTTCTGAACGGATATATTTGTTTGACATAAAGTTGAATGCATAATCTTCTGATGTAATATTCCACTGACAGTGTTGTGTTTCACAATATATTCCATTAGATCTATGGACCAAATTGAAGACATTAGCTTTATCATTACATGACTTCTTTTTGCATTGTTCTAAGTTCTCAACAATCGCAGTCGAAATCTGGAAACATATTGCTTGTACATTTCGCAACCACGTTCTGTTCATAAAGTATGAATTATAACATGACTGTGCATTTTTAAGTGGTCGCGCATATGTTTTCCCCGAATAACTGGCGACTTTATATGCCCAGTTGTACGCCCATTCAAGTTCGGTGGGATCTAGTTCACATCGATAGACAGCACATTCTCTCTTTGGATCGTAATATACAACGTTGGCGTTTACCTTACAAGCCAAGATGAAGCATCGCTCTAAGGATTGCTGAAGGTGCTGCTTCAGTATTCCGAAATGAAGATTCTGACAGCCTGGCCGAATCGATATGTCCCTATCGTTCGTGTGGTCATTGTGTCGTACCAACAAGAAATCACCATAAGAACAGTCATCATCTAAATTATAATGGAGAAGTATTATAAATAATTACGTCGAATGCGTTTGTGACATGCACTGATTATGCGTACTCCACATATACTGCTTTTTTACACATAATGTACTAGTATGCCATTTTCAATATAAACACGCGGTACTAACTCACCGGGGCGTATCGAAACCAAAATGCCCCGCAAAACCGTTAATTTGAATTTCAAATCTACCCTGTCTTTGGAAAATCAATAATTGTGAGTCTCACACTACACTGTTTTTCTTCAAACTTGTTCCATTAAAATCTTCATAGAAATACCTTTCATTCGAGACATTGCCTTTGTATACAAAGTCCCTCGTTTTAGCGGGAGAAGTTAGTGAGAAGTTGCAAATCCTGAGAGATTTCAACACAATCCTTGATATCTCGTCAGTTTTTCTATCACTCCCCCCCCTATTCTGCGCAAGGAATCCCATTACAACCTTCCATCGCTACATCAACATATTTATTACATGAAACGCAGCAATTTTGAAAAGTCCTACACAACTTTTCGAAATTGACCAAAACGCCCCGTTGTCTTCCAAAACGCCCCGCAGAGTCTATGACTACAAACGTGTATCTAGATATTGTGTATAGATCCAACGGGGCGTTTTGGAAGAGAACGAGGCGTTTTGATCAATTTCGAACAGATGCGTAGGACTTTTGGAAATTGGTGCGTTTAATGTAATAAATATGTTGATGCAGAGATGGAGGGTTGTAACGGGAGTCCTTGTGCAAAATATAGGGGCGAATAATAAAAGAACTGGCGATATATCGAGGCTTTTCGTTGAAATCTCTGAAGATTTGCATCTTCTCACATCTGGGGACCAAAACACCGCTAAAACGAGTGACTCTGTACACAAAAGCAATGTCTCGAGTGAAAGGTATTTCTGTGAAGGTTTTAATGGATCAAGTTTGAAGAAAAACGGTGTTACACGTCGCACGAAACAGGGGACAATTAGAGTAACATTATGGCGTCAAAATACAAAACAATACAATGGGCAGTACAGGGCGCAATCAGCATTATAACGTCAAAAACGACAAGCGTTACATTTTGTCAAGTTTAGTCAACCTAAAAATAAGATGCTTTATTCTTATTCAATTCTGGTGAAATTCACAGAGCAAGAAGATCTCGAGGACAATATTTCTAAAATGTTTTTGATTTTTGGAAAACGGTCAGAAAATCCACTCGGGGCGTTAGTAAAAAATTGATATGTATGGGATTTGTGGTAAAAAATCGATGCGTTACATTTTTTCAAGTCTCTAAAAGCAACTCTTATTCTCTTATTATTTGAAAAATAAAGAAATCGGTTATTGTTTTGTAAATTCCGCCATGACAATATTGTGCAGTTAAATTTTTTTTGAAATCAGACCTAGATGAGAAGGTTAAATAAAGGTAAACTTATTGCTTGTCTCCTTCGCCTTCAAAACCTTACACAATTTTGAAAATCTTAAAAGCGTTCATATAAGACGATTTGAACTGTAGCCGCTAGGCAATTGTGACGTCATAAAAGCACATGTTTCAATGAATAAAATGTGAAATTTTAGTAAAATTCTGATCAGTATTTCAAAAGTTATTCCGATTTCAACGAACCGTGTAAGCGTGAAATGTTACGCCTTACAGCGTATCTGACGATGTCGGAGTACATTTAACTTAAAAAAGATGGTACATCCCATCATACTTTTCAAGGAAAAATAATTTCAGTGAAATGCGAATAAAAAATACTTCAAAATGATATATAATACACATAGTTAGCTTTTTAAATAAGGCAGATATTAACGCTTAAAGCTGAGATTAGCCCGTATTTCCCGAATTGTCCCCAGGTCCGTGCACGTCATATGTACTATGAGACTCACAATCATTGATTTTCCAAAGAAAGGGTAGGTTTGAAATTCAAATTAACGGTTTTGCGGGGCGTTTTGGTTTCGATACGCCCCGGTAAGTTAGTACCGCGTGTTTATCGTTAATATGATTAAGATATTACATTTGTTGGTAAAACAAAGAAATAAATAGTGGAAATAATAACTATTTGATCACATGACAAAGTCACATATACTACTTTAGTATGGGTAAAGATTTTCACTAGCTGCTACAGGTAAAATATTTCTTCCTATATTTTATATTTTCTTAAACCATTATACTGACTCAGTACATATTTCATATAGTTATTCTGAAAGATAAATATGTAATCTTTAAGATGCAAAAGGTCTTTCCTACACTTTTATAGTATTTTTATAGCTATTTTATAGTTATTTTATATAGTTATTCGGAAATTAGGAAGGTTTTCTTTGTTTATTGAACCATGTACATGTACTTAGGATTCACAATGTGTATTTTAGGTAAGCCCTTTGTTGCTTTACCAAACCCATACTCACAGCCTAGCAGTCTCTGTAGCCACGTAAATTATCTAATCACTGAAGTTTGAATTTTGTAATTGTAAATGTCACCGTGACATTTTACAAATCACATTGACATTTTCTAAGGTCAACATGACATTTTGATGAAGTCATGAATCTTACGTACTTAATGTTTTATATGCTTCAGGCATTGAATGGGGTAGTTTAGAAAATACAACACCAAGAAAATGCATGATGGGGCTCCCAGAGGGTATACACATTTTTCACCAAGTGCTTTTTTCGTAGTTTATGCATGTAGACACATATACCCTATGGGAGTAGAAGTTCTGCTCGATAGCCGCTTTTCAAAATGGCCGCTCGTTTCAAAATGGCGGTCATTTTAGAGACGATTTTACAGTCATTTAGGTACAGTATATAAAACTGTAATAGCAATGAGTTTTAAAAGTAAAAAAGTTATATAGCACATTAATTAAGCTAGACATGTAGATATTTTAGAAACACATGGCAGCCATCTTGAAAAATGGCGGCTTTTACACACGATTTTACAATTTTTGCTATAACTAAAAGTAATGGAACGATTTTGTTCATATTTGATATGAGACTAATTATTGGCATGGCACACTGTTTAATGACATTTTGGCTAGAAGGCGGCCATTTTACACGCTATTTTACAATTTTTGCTGTGCGATTTTGTTCATATTTGATATGTGACTACTTATTAGCATGGCACATTGTTCTATTATGACATTTTGGCTATTAAGGCGGCCATTTTCAAAATGGCCACCATTTAACGTGAGTTATTTTAGGTTATATATATTTTGCAAGTGGATCCAAGAGACCAAGTGGGCGAGTCATTTATTTTGCAGGGGTGGCATGATACACACATTTCAATTTTGTATATAGTGAATTCCCAGTGATTGATTTCAGTACAGTAAAATTGTCATAGTGAACAACTCTTTAGTGAAGATCTGTGCCCAGTGACATGCCTCTACTCTATTGAACACCTGTGTATAGTGAACACCGATTCCGTCCCAGCCAGTGATTTCAGTACAGTAAAAATATCCCAATGAACACCTCTTTAGTGAAGATCTGTGCCCAGTGAACACATGCGTCTACTCTATTGAACACCTGTGTATAGTGAACACCAATTCCCAGTACAGTAAAACTGTCAAAAATGAACATCTCTTTAGTGAAATACTGTGCCCAGTGAACATATGAGTATACTCTATTGAACACCTGTGTGTAAGCGAACACCAATTCCCAGCCAGTGATTTCAGTAACTTTTAGAGGGGAATGTACCTACAGTAAAACCTGTCTAATCCAAGGGACCAGCTAAGAGCGTTCGGATTAGGAGGTGTTCACATTTTGAGGTTTTGCATTTGCAAGATTTGGGATTTTGAAGAAATAGAAACAAATTCTCAATAAATATTATAGTTTTTTTGACTACTTAGCTTTATGGCATTACAGTGACATGAAAATCTGATTCAAATGAATTTAGTCATCCTAGAAAGCCCCACCATGAGTGAGATCGTTCAAGTTCTTTTCAAATATTTGATCAATTTTGTATGGAACATGTGATATTTTATGTGTTCAGATTAGATAGGTTAATTTTTCAAACATGACTGTTCACTGTCCAAATTGGGAGGTGTTCATATTTCAAGTTTTTTAACATTTGAGTCAATGGGAGGAAAAACGGGACCAAAAAATGTTCAAATTGGGAGGTGTTCGGATTAGCCAAGTGTTCAGATATACAGGTTTTACTGAACTACAATTGTTTTCAATCTTTTGGAGGAAAGTGTACAGCATTCCAGAGAAATGACAGGTGACACACTATCATGGGAACTGGTCATATCAGATATTCCCACGCTTTTCGTCCAGAAGAGGTCATTTCCCAAGGTTATAGATGAACCCTTGGCCAATCAATGATATAGTTTACATAAGATAAGTATGACTGTATGAATTCTGGGATATTCCTGTTTTGTTGAGACAGGTGAGAATAAAATTAACCCTTTGCTTTGATCAAAACTGCCTTCAATCATCCAATACTTGGCTCAGTTAAAATAGTTGATTTATATTTGAATTCGATAATAACATTTAAAAATTAAATGTGTAGTATAATGTATAATATTACAACATACATAATGATATAGGCAATTTGTTTCATAAAAATCTAAAAGTGAAATTCATAATCTTAATTTACCCTCTGGGAGCTCCAAAATCAAAGAAAATGCATTTTCTTGGTGATGTATTTTCTAAACTACCTTTGAATGGGGATGCTCTAGTTTCATTTATAATTTACTTAATCCCCATTCCAAACATCGTTTTACCCATTAAAACATGAAACATTGATATGCATATGAGATGTGAGGTTTTAATGTATGACTGCTATCCATTTATTGCTGCTTTTCATATTTCAGGCACACCTTCACTTCTGGTCACTCTTTTGTAATAGTTTTACATTTTATGAACAGATAAGGTAGTTCTACGCTTTTATGAACAGATTAAGGTTGTTCCACACTTTTATGGATTAAGGTAGTTCTACACTTTTATGGATAAAGGTATTTTACATGAACTGATACAATATATATATGATATATAAAATTAAAATACAGTTTGGTTTCTGTTTATTGGACTAAACGTCCCTCATATGTTTAAAATTGATTTACTTTTAAGTCGCCTTTAGGGTCTCCTATAGACACACCTGTTTTGTGATTAGCTAAACACTGCTTTAAAATGCTTTGAAGTATCTTAAACATATTTTAATGTCAGGATTTAGTTACAACTTTATTCTTTGAGATTTTAAAATTAATAACGATATTCAAATGATGAGTCCTGGAATGAGTAAGCTTATGGCCATCGACTTAGAAAATATTGAAAATTGTAATGTCTGAAAAACCAACTCAATCACACATATTATTAAACCTCAATATCTTATTCTTCTGAGAGTACAAAAACGTCAAATTGTATCACAATTAATGAAGAATATTGTCATCAAAGGGAATGCTTATTGAAAAGAAATTCAAGTACAAATCTTTGTATATTGACTGGTATCTCGTGATGATTATTTGTCTTCTGTAAGGATACTTATTTTGACTCTTAGCAGGGGTTAATTATGCAGCGAAACTCATGAAAAGGTAGATAATATAAGGCAGTAAATATAACTAGGACACTTATAAAAATTATATTTCACATACATTTAACCGAGGGACCAAAAGGGCATATATCCGGACTCATCCTTTGTTATTTGGCTCTCGGGCAAATAGCCTCCAAACAATTAAGACATGGATGAAAAAGAATGTAAGAAATCTCACCCAACTCTCAAAATCTATCTCTCCAATGGAGGCTTTTAAAAACTTTTTTAATGGCTATACTGAGGGCCTCTATCATCATAGATTAGGTCAATCATCTGGGTAACGTGTAATATACATGTTTTCTCTGAAAGAAAGTTCCAAGTGACATATATTTGCTATGCGTGGAGATAACCTTGAGAAATTGCATCTCTCAAACTTTTTTATAAAGAAATATTTCTTTGAATTCACCCGATTCTTTTCCATTTAGGAAATTGCTTTTGAAACAGTACACAGTACACTGTTTCAAAAGCAATTACTTTGCAAGGTTCAAATAAATCGCAAATGATGTCAATATCATCGGGTGAAAAGGATTTAAGAGAATCCTTTTAATATTGATATTCATACAATATACATGCCATACAATATACGTGCCATTTAAGTACTGGTTGTCCACCTTAGTTGGTGAAATGAAACCTGGGGTCGTTGTTGGCAAAGGATGACAGTTGTAGCAGACCTCCTGGGTTGTTGTTTTATGCCAAATGATCCGCCCATCTTCATCAAATGTTTTGCACCTTTCACCTTCATTCTCTAATGTCAAAGACGCGAATAGACATCTGTTTCGATTATTGCATTTTCTTTTAATGTTATGTGGGTAACGGATTTGTGTTTCACATATCTTGATACCATCGCACGTTCGTTCAGCTATATTCTTTACTCGTAGTATCTGTATCTCGTGATATTTTGGACATTGTATCACTTTTGCTACTGCATTGTCACCTCCACAGGGTAACCTCTGACATTCTGGAATAAAATGAAGATGATTATCAATTTTTATTACTTGCCACAATCAACCTCACTGCCAGCATATCAAACCAGGCCCATTTTCCATCAAACTTGGCCCAACTACTATCAAGTGGATGTCCTTCAAAAATCAAGTTGGCATGGTTACCAAAGCCCAATAGTTGCCATGGCAACCGTAGAAATGGGGTAAAAAATGAGAGCAAAAAAGCACCCAAACCAACCATAATGGCACTAATTTATAAAATATTTCTAGACACACAAATTTTCTTAAACTTTGATATCATCTAGGACACTTCTAGACAACAAAAAATGTCAAAAATTGGGGGTAGGTTTACCACTTCAATTTGTTTCTAGGCTTGGTCAAAGTAAAACTACTAAAAAGCACTCATTTTCAATTTTGAATCATCTATTATCGCCCAAATGGATATATTTTTTCAAGGTCAAGGTCGCCATGCTAAAATTAGAATTACGGAGATAAATTTGCTCTTCAGACAATGTTTGATAGCTTTACTTTACCACGGAACAAAGATATTAGCGCTGGTATACCCATTTACATGGGATAACATACGTGAAAGAGGAAGTATGTCTTTAAATGTCATCGAAACTTTTGCCAACACGTGAAAAGGCCATTTCGCACTACTTTTGGTGTAATAATTCCATTACGCGAGAAATCTTTGTTTCAAAAGATTTTATGTGCTCTTTCTTTGATTTCTTTTGGGTTCAAACAAAAAATCATTGGTTTTGCCAATATTAAGTGAACGTTTGTTTGCTTTTATCCAGTCATCTATTTAATTCAAGTTTGCATTAGTTCTAGTCATAAGTTCATTTAAATTACGGTCAATAAGATTGGTGTCATCAGCAAACATAATAAATTTTAGATTAGGGGCAACAATAAGCAGATCATTTATGTAAAGAATGAATAATAGGGGTCCAAGTACCGAGCCCTGCGGAACACCACAGTTTAGAGATGATTGTCTAGATTCATTATTGTTAATGGTGACATACTGTTCATAGTCTTTAAATAGCTTTCAAAGCAGGACTAAGCTATTCCTTTGATGCCATAATATTCAAATTTATGTATCAAAATACCATGATTATTTGTGTCAAAGGCCTTGGAAAAATCTAATGTTATGCCAATGCCTGTTTTTCCCAAATCAGTTGATTTTCGAATTTGTTCAATGAAATATAAAATGGCCATGTAGGTAGAATTGAATTTCTGAAATCCAAATTGATAAGTGAAAATAATTTCAAAACGTTCTAAAAAACATTGAGTTTTACGTGCATGATCTTTTCTAACTATTTAGAAAATACCGATAAAACGGAAATTGGTCTATAGTTTGAAGGATTTGTAGTGACGCCTTTTTTAAATATAGGTGTTACTTTGGCCAATTTTACCAGATTTAAAAGATAAGTTAAATATATACAAGAGTGGATCAATTAAAAACTGTCTTGCAAACCTAATAAGTGATGGTAGAATCCCATCAGGTCCAGGCGAGGAAGATTTTTAAAGACACATTTCTTATTCAAGCTCAGTTTTTGAGATCTTTTTGAGATAAATATATATTGAACTTTTGAACTCTTGCTAGGTATTCATTAAAGCATTTTTGGGATTTTGGAATCTCCTTGGCTAGATTTGTACCAATATTGGTAAAAAATTATTAAATCAATTAGAAATAATTTCATGATCTGTTGTTTCCTTCCGCATACTTACTATACATTAATATAAATGAGATGGCGTTTTTGGGGATTGTGATGGGAACTTGAAATATGTCTTGCTTGCTAGATTCAATACGTCTTGCTTGCTAACGTAGATGTTGAAAAGTGCGCCAAATTATGATTCCAGCCACTGTTGTCATGTATAGGCTTTAGTTTCGTATTCACTTTTGTTTCGTATCCTCGAAGATGACATGCCTAAATAAATCTTAATTCATCTGAAAAATAGATCTAAACTATATATTTGTTTTAAAACTTATTTATAAGCTCTGACCCCCATATCCAATGTTGTCATAAATTGATATACTAGCGTATAAGTAGTTATCGCTTTAACCTATGTGATTTACCCAAATATTTACACTGAGCCTTTCTATCTGCATCACACTTGAGTATCTGTGTCATCTTTACCTATCTGTGTTACCCCTAAATATCTGCTAACTGTCAAGGGTAATAAGTCTTATTTTTCCATGTTACATTTAACTATCTGAGTTACATTTTCTATCTGTGTTAGCCTTAAATGGTTACATCGCCCTTAATTATCTGCAACATCCTTTACTATCACTTACGATTACTTACCATTAAATATCTGTGCTACCATTGACTAAATGAGTGGTATCGATATGGAGAACTGAATTCAACAATGTTTTTTTCTCAAACCAATCATTGAAATTATTCTTGTAAAAAAACACGGTATTTTATGTAATGTTGACTGATTGACAACAATTTAATGCGAAAATTATTTAGAAATATCTTATATAACAGTTTTTGTTAACATTTTTTGTTTTTCTAGTGCAATTGTTTTTGCTCCTTTCTACCAATTCTTGAGAATGAAATAAAATGTCTTTCCGAACCTTGTTGGAACAAAATAGCATATACAACATGTTTTTAGACCTCTCAATATTATAGTTATACAAAGGAATTTTTGGTTGATTTTAAAAAGCATTCAAAAAAAAATTTAAAATCCCTCCAAAATAGATAAAAATCAAGATAAACCTTTTATTTCATTAACAAGATACTTTTTTTTAATCAACCAAAATTTCATTTGTACAATTACAATATTGAGAGACCTATACATGTTGTGTTTATGTCGTTTTGTTCCAATGAGGTTCGGAAAGACGTTTCATTTCACTCTGGAAACATGATACCAGGAACAAAACAAGTGTTTGATGTGCTTTCTAAAACAATATAGATGAAAGTATATATATATACAGGGTGTTCCAAAAGTAACAGGACTGGTGCTGGCATTTTGTCAATTTTGCACCGGGTGTCTTCAAATTTTCACTAATTGTACTTTGAAGCATTGCAACTAAAACTGTATAGTTTCAGAAAAAATGATGAAATGCGGGTAGAGTTGTTGTTACTACAGTAACATGACATCACAATACCCGGGGCAACTTTTTCTGAAAATGTGATATCTAACATTTTTGTATTACCGAAGAAAGTATCTAATTCACGTATTATAATACAACATTTCTTGTTTATTTTATTAGTTGCTTTGTTGTAAAGGTGTTGCTACAAACTCAAGTATGATTTCATAATAATAATATTTATTCAATTTCCTGGAATATCACTATGAATAACAGTCTGAACAATTCATGGTTGAGTTTTTGAAAAGACCCAATTTGAAGCCAGTCATCCACCTTGATAACGCGCCTGCCCGCGGGTCACCATTAAAGACCATGCAGCTATAGAGGAGCTAGGTCTTGAGTTCTTAAACCATGCACCATACTCTTCTGATCATGCAACATCCAATTTTTCTTACATGGAGAATGGAATGCTAATCAGTGCTGTAAGATCTTTAAAGATGAGAATGACCTTCTCCAAGTTGTTCAATCGACCATGCGTGACATGTCCTCAAATGGATTCACTCATGTGTTTGAGTCATGGATACAGAGTGCTACTCTTCTACTGACCAAAGAGGAGCCTATTTTTCAAAGTAAATAGGATACATAGGAATATTAAATTATGTAAAACAAATGTTATTCCTACCAGTTGTTGCATTTTAACTTTGATATGGGATGTACAAAATGCTTAATGTCTCTTTCTGTCTTAATGTAACTTTTTGGTGGAATGTTGCCCCGGGTATTGTGATGTCGTGTTACCATAGCAACCATAACTCTACCCAAGCTACATATTTCTTGTCGAAACTTTGCAGTTTTAGTAACGACACATGGAAGTACATTATGTCAAATTTTGAAGACGATTGGTGCATATTTAACAAAATGCCAGCACCAGTCCTGTTACTTTTGGAACACCCTGTATATATATTTCCAATTATATTGTTACCATTAAAAATATTACCATTAAATTGACAATGTGTACAATTTTCAGAATTTTTTGATGACTGGTTTAAGAGAAACGTGTGTTTAAAAAATTCGCCATATCGATACCCATCCTTTATTAGATGTTATTGTATTACAGTTAAGTCTGCCATTGTATTTTTATTTATCATCATTTCATTTATTTTTCATTAATATATAATGAATATGCATTAAATATAGCTTAAACATATTAATAATAAAATAAAACAAAGCAAATTTACTTTGTCCTTATAATTTTTATTGAATTATTAAATTGATTTTGTACTTTGTAAAAATACTTCAAAATATTGAAATTTTAGACCCTTGTCGTACACCCCCCATTATTCTGGAACACAGAAGACTAATTTCAAAAAATAATTGTACGTCGATACTGGCGACATAATAGTCTTTCATTTTCATCATACTAGGATTCAATTTAAGGTGGGGTACTTTTTGCAGCTTATTCGACCTACATAGTCCCTGATCTGGTCCCTCTGAAAACAAGTTTTGTTGTCCGGTACTTTCCCACATAAAATGATTGTACCGTTTGATAGAACAGACTTCCCTCTTAAAGAAAACACCTCTTATATTGATAGAAACAGGGGCAAAAGGCACTAAAATGGGGCTAGAAAAGGTGGCATCCTGAAGTCTCACTTTCTAGTCATCACGATTCCAGGAAAACCACTTCACAGATGTACTTCAAATGTTCACACATGTTACATGGTAAGAAGTCCTAGAGCTCATTTGTTTTCCGGTGGCCATTTTGCATTCTGGCGGCCATCTTGGAAGTTTTAAGATAAATCTTGTCATCACGATTTCAGGAAAACCAAACGGATTTTCTTCAAATTTTCACACATGTTACATGGTAAGAAGTTCTAAAGCTGAATAACTTTTAAGTGGCCATCTTGCATTTTGGCGGCCATCTCGAAAGTCTTTAATTAAATCTTGTCATCGCGATGCCAGGAAAACCACTAAACAGATTTACTT